ATATTTATATATATATATATATATATATATATATATATATATATATATATATATATATATATATATATATATGCACACACCTCTGTGTGTGTGTGTGTGTGTGTGTATATTTTTTTATATTTATATATATATATTTACACAGGCAGCCAAATCCAATCCGTAATCCTAAGAATAGTCAATAACTAGACTAGTCGAAACACGGGTAAACAAATACACAAGCCGGGTAACCAAAACCAAATCGAAAACCAAAAGCGCAAAAGTTGAAGGCCAAAAACAGGTCGTAACAGTAAATCAGTAATACAATAAGCAAAAGGCAAAGCAAAGAGAGCACGGGCAAAAGCTGGAAGATGTGGTGTTCAGGCGTCTTTTATAATCCAGGGCTGGAGAGGCGGGAAACGGGAACGAGGCGATGACAACCAGTCCATCCAGTTTTGCCACGGCTTTTGTGGTGAGATGGAATGGGATCTAAAGGAGAGAAGGCCTGGACACACACACATACGGACGTAACACAGTTGCGTGCGCTTTATTAAGTGGGATTGTCCATTAAACGCTATTCCCACCTCTCAAAACTATTTTACAAAGATTGCAAATCGCTGTGCTACTGGTTTCTGTTAAAAGCGTAAAATACTCCCAGATCGTCACTTCTTATCTTACGCTCCCCGTACTGCGAAGGGTATGCGCATGACGTCACAGCAGGCGAAAGTCACTGTACTCACACCCACTGAGTAGCAAAAAAGACTGAGGGGCAGCGTTAGCGTTCAATTTGATTGCCACAAAAAAAAACATGTAAAATGGGAAACAGCTGTCATGCGATTGATTGTACAAATAGATTTAACACGAAATAGGAGCTGTCTTTTTAGAGATTGCCAAAAGCCATCTGCTAACATTCCTCCTAGCTGGTTGGGTACCAGGGAAAGCAGACTGTTATAAATGTCTGAAGAAAGAACCAGAAGCTCTCAAAGACAAAGATTGGCAGAGTATCAAATACTATGTTCATAACAGAAATGTTTCTAGCAAAAGAAAACCATGGTTTATTTAAGTCAGTAGCTGCAGGCTTTTCCACATAAAGTGACTATTTTGTTTTACATAGATAATGCAGCTAATACAGATGTATTTTATTTTGCCCCACATTTTTAAGTTGACTATATAGGGCAAAATTTTAGTTTTGCAAGTAGCTGCAAAAGAAATTTCGATTGTTAACCCTCTGGGAACTTGGGGTAGGGAACACACTTTCACTGACTGGGGCATAATCACACATTTCTTTCAATATCATAAACTTAATTCATGGCAAATAAATTATATCTTATATATTTGTTTTGGCGTCACACTAATTTTAATGTATATTGTAAATATGTCACTTATGTTAGGTTTCTAATCTGACATCAAAGTATAGACATTGCAAAATGCAGTTTGGAACACAGAAACATTATGAAAGTACATCGTAAGTAGGGATGTTAACCGATGACCGTTTGACCGGTGGTTGACCGTATCAACGTTAACCGGTCAAAGTTGTCGGTAGTCGGTTAAAAAAAAAAGTGATATTTAAATTAGGCTATTATATAGACAGTGGACTATACGCTACTACAGTTAGCCATCTCATTCCTCATCTTTTTGTGTTAAGTGAACAAATTATCCCTCACACTCAATTTTTCATAACTCGCCTGTTTGTACTTAATAAACCAATAAAAACATTTGGCGCGAGGTCACAGCGTTTGGGTTCGCGCGCTCACAAGGTTTGCGAAAAGTAAAGGGAATCATCTTTCTTTATTATGGTTAGCACTACCTCAACTAAAGCGGCGTCTCTTCGGAGCTGTCATTTTCTTAAATGAGCCGTGGCAATGTTTCAAATGAGCTTCTAACCTAGACAAACGCCTTTATTTTCAAAGCGATCACCTTGTACCCAAACCATTTGAAACTAAGGAGCCATTTGTCCTACGATTACATACAACAAGCTCTTCTGCGCCGCGTTTGCGGGACTCATGTTTCGCGCTGTAGGGGATTTTAAAAAAAGTGACGTGAGTGGCAGTGTGTGTGTGTGTGTGTGTGTGTGTGTGTGTGCGGGAGGCAGAGCGGCAGAGCGGCAGAGAGATGCGACAGAGTTGCGAAATTGCAGGCGCGGCTCGAAATGGCTGTTATTTCAAATAGCGTACCATATTTTAAACTAATCGGTTAACCGGTTTCAACCGGCTACTGAGGCTCGGTGGTCGGTCAAGAAATTTTTTAGTTTTCGCCATCCCTAATCGTAAGCAATGCTGGCAGTTTGTTTTGATCCCAGATATCTGATCACCAAAGTATTGGGTACATAAAGATGACTAAATGGTGTAACTGCAACATTCAGGTAGATAAATAAGAAAAATCTAACTCATGTCACTCTTTCTGGCCTCCTTTCATTGAATATGTAGGAGCTTTCATGTGTATGAATAAGCCATTCGCACTCGGCCCCTCCCACCCTTCTTGGGGCCCAAGCTATTCACACCTCTCCTCACCTCCAGGACACAAAGAAAAGAATTCTGTAAGAGGAACATTTCATTGTAAGAAAAAAAAAAAGGAGGTTTCATAAACATAGGCAATGTGATTGTTTGGTGTGTGTATGTGCAAACTATATACACGGGGAAGTGATTTGCACATTCACAGTTTCTTGTGCCACTCTTGAAAACAGTTCCTTGTAAGCTGTAGGCAGAGTGGAACATCACACGCCTGACACTTCCAGGGAGTGTTCTGCCTCTGGCCAGCCTCTCTGCACAGCATACAAGTCCGGCGACCATACGATGCCACTTTGCCGACGTCTGGGTTTACCGGGTTCACTGGCACTGGAACATGTTCGGAATGACTCTGCTGTGGATACTTCCTTGTGCAGCCACACAGCTGCACAATAAGCTCCTCCATGAAGTCCTTGTGCGACATCGGCTTCTTCTGCACTAATGCCGACAGCTCTTCGTGTAAGATGTAGGCATTAGTGGCAGCAATGTCTAGGAAATGCAAAAACAGTTTCCTGTACCACTTCATAGTCTTGTGTTGCGCTGAATAATACTGAATAAGTCTATCTGAGAGGTCAACACCACCCATATGACTATTGTACTCTACAACAGGAGAAGGACATGGAAAAATCTTTGTAGTCCATTTGCCACCTTTGGACTTCACCCTTCTCTGTACTTCATCCCCTTTGTAAGCGCTGTGGATGGTGGAGCAGACAGATACCTCTCGTGTGTCCATCCACTTCACAAAAACTGTTGGACCGTCCCGGATCCACCTGAACGTTCCTCTGGCAGACTGCTCGGACATAGCATTTGATGTCGGGCGGGGACAGCCCTTCCTGTTGTCTCTGTATGTCCCGCAAGCACCAATGCTTTGTGAGAACAGGTCCATCAAAAGCTTTGGGCTAGTGTAGAAATTGTTCATGTACACGTGATATCCACATCCCAGGTAGCGACGATTCATAAGTGACATTACACTGTCATATGAAAGTCCTTGCCCTGACCGGAAGTCATTCTTTCCCGTGTACACAGAAAAATCTACTGTATATCCATTGCTACAGTCCACAAGAGCAAACAGCTTGAATCCACACTTGGCAGGTTTCGCCTTCATATACTGCGTCATCCCAGTCTTTGCCTTGACTGCTACCATTCTTTCATCCACAGCAAGGCACCTGCGTGGCTGATAGAAGGCTTTGCAAGCATCCTGGATCGTGGTCAAGAGAGGCTTCAACCGGAACAATCTGTCGTGCTGCGGTGTTCCGCGGTTCTGGTCATTTGCAGGGTCTGCATCAGGATCACTCATGTGAACGTTCCATGAAATTGTCCTGTACCTGTCCCTGCTCATGACTTTCGGCGGGAGAACCTGTGAAAAAAATGTGTTCTGTCGCCAGTAGTCCGTTATGTGCTCCAACTTCACCATGGCCATGTAAAAAACAAGTCCAATGTACCTATAAAATTCCTCAACACATACAGCAGTCCATTTATACTTCTTTCCTTCAGCAACATGCATGGCGGCGCGCCGGTTGGTATTCCTGCAGAGTGTCTTTACAGCATCCGTACTGAAAAACATCTTAAATAAATCCAGCGGCGTGTGACGATCCGCTGAACTCAGCTGCACTCCAGGTGGTCGGGCAGGCCTGAACATCAAGGCAGGTGGACCCGCATCAGCATCTTCTTTGGAGTACCACGATGAACTAGGCTGGGTCGATTGTGATGCAGGGGACGTGCGCCGTCGCTTTGGAAAAGGTGAACTGCATAATAGACAGAAAAAAATATGCATAAATACATATGCTAAAGTTAAATGCTAAATGACACATTAGTTTTCATAACCAAAACTGGATGCGGGAGTACAATCTCGCATAAAGCCAGAAACACAATATACACAACACACAATAAACATGGATCTTTTTTTATACTATTTGAAATTGCTTTTATGCACGTACAGATCCATCTGCGTCTGTGTGGATGTGGCCAAAAATATGTGATCACAACAATCACGACAACAATAAACCGAAACCGCATTCCAGCCATTAGCACATGTATAACATGACACCCATTTCGCATAACGATGCCGGTAACTCAAAAGTGACAAAACATTATGCAGGAACATGATTTCAATACGACTTCGAATCACGACTATATCAGTGAGACTTAAGCAGAAACCAATCACGCCAATACATCGCATAGCAGAAAAAACGCGAACACAAAACTCTTTGTGAGTACATGATTTCAATTATAGGTTTTTTGCACCAAAACTAATGTGGATGGAAACTGTACTGCTTTTCAACACTTCACATTTGGGAATTCGCTTTTACGCGCCTTGAGGTCACGTGATCCACTTTGACCGACGCCGCAGGTACAGATCCATCTTCATCTCTGTAATTGTTGGAGATATTGTGATTACAATATGACAACGACACACTGAAACTGCATTCCGAACATTAGCGGACACGCAAAAAAGAAGGTATAGACACATATACAATATATTGCTAACAAAAAACTGTATGCGCTCACATGATTTCAATAAAAATGTTGAATTACGACTGCATTTGTGGAACTGTATAGAAATCATAATTTTGGCAACAGTTATGCGCCAACACGTCGCATAACAAAAACGTCACAAAGTCAAACCTATGTGCTTCCACGATTTCAGTGAGTTTCGGAATTATGACTACATTAGTGAAACTGTAAAATAGTAACCATACTGACCAACTTGAGAACGAGTAAATATATCTTACGATAAGATAAGCACGTGTACACCTAAATTAGGTTTTACAACTTTAGGTACGTATCAACAAGCACGGTAATAAAAATACACTTACTCGGAGAGGTCATCCACCGCCGGATCAAGCCGATCTTGAAAATGACACAGTTCTTCATCAGTGTCGCAGTCTTCAGGCGCAGATGAATCTTCATTTTCACTTTCTTCCATCGATTTCCGAACAGCCTGCAGTGTCTTCTGTCCATCCATGCTATGTGCCATCTTCCCAGTGAAATCAGTGTTCTCAATAAATAGCTTCAAGCTGCGTCAGCTTTTATGGCGCTGATGCGGAAGTATCTGGGTCGCGTCACACTCACCGATACAACGAGGGTAATTAGAATAAATTACCATGGATTTTGTCAAGGTGAGGGCGGTACTACACGCCCCTTGTGCAGGTAAAAGAAAATATGTGTGGTTTACCTTTTTTGCCGATTTAACCTAATTTTAAATACTTCCGAAAATGGACGTTTTGAAAAGATGACAAATTATCGATTTAGTCAATGTTTTTTCCGTGCTTCTACAAAAAGATTTCAGCTAGTTATGAACTGAAATTACACAAGATGCGCTGCACCCCCGACGATGTGCTCGTCCCCAGAAGGTTAAAACATACTGTCAATCAAAAATGGTTCCGCCCTTTAGACAGCTCCTCCAATAATAAAAAACAACCCAGCGTCCCGGCCCGCCCACTGCTCCATTCACTCCCAGAGAGGCTGGAGCTTCTCTGGAAGTGACGATTTTGGTGCATTTATCCAATAACCGTCCAGCTTTTCTGCAGTGAAAAAAGCTCTTCTGTGGCGAGCCGTAGAGGTCCGGTGAAGCTGCGCTGCGGGAGGTTTTAATGCATCGTGCTGCACAGAAATGTATGAGAAGAAAATCGCGTCAAACAATCAACAATAAGAGGAAGCGGAGCTTCCCTTGTAGTCTTAACTTTGTGCGGTCAGTTTTAAGACCTACACATGAGCATGACCACACACTGAACCTAATTATTTCTCTTGGTGCTCCAGTAGAAAATTACTAAATACTATGTGCTTGTTTGTCTGATCATTATCCCATTCTGTTTAATATACAGGGTTTTTATTCTGTTTCAGAATCCTCATGGATAGTACATTTATTTCTACTGCTCAGCATTTCGGAGATCTTTATAAAAACACCGTTTTTGTGCACTGTTTTTGCACAATCACTGATTCACAATCACATATAAAAAGCATTAGTGAACTGATATAACATATTGTTCCTGATTTTGTGGAGAAATATATGACTAAAACACAGGAATATATACAGATGTGCAGTTGTGACTGGCATGTGTCTTTCTTCTGAATTTATACAAACACTAGTTCCTATTATAGTAAATCTGAATTTATTTACGCACAGAGACATACGGATGCAAAATAGTAAAGTAGAACTGATTTGTGAACCTGTGATTAATCCAAGGGCATACTGGGGTGAAAGTCCCGATCTGTAAGAAATGGGACCGGAGGATGTGTTCCAACTTCAGTGGGATATGATCATGTCAATTAGAATGGTGCAAAGCAAGCTCAGTGCTGTAGAATGTCATGTATAACCAAATAAAACAGTCACTCTGCACAAATGTGTACTTTGGTAGTTCATCTGGAATGGGTATAAAATCACAAACGTTTAACCCTAAGATACCTATTAATTTTTGAACGTTTTTCTATCCCTTTGATTTTAGACATATTGCATTGTATGTACATGAGTTATCCAACATGAAGGTATAACAGAAGTGAACAATCCAACAATCAGGGATGTGCAATTTCTGAGGCATGTATTTAAAATTAGTATATGAATTGTATTTTATAATTCATATTTGATTTGTTCATAAAACTTTTAGAACTTGGTTTTTTTTTCTAAAGACTTTGATCAGTATTTTTGTACTTTGAAAATACGAGAAATACTATTTGCATGATAATGTCATGTGTGCAAAATGTTTGTGCATACACAAGGAGGAAGCTTAATTTTTCAGACATTTTAATGAATGGTCATTAGAGCCAATAGCTAGTTGATCACTTGTGTTGAACCAAAAGACTTGCAGGCTCCATTTTTAGGACCTATTCATGTTTAAACTTTTAAAGATCTTGCTGAGTGTAGAGCTGAAATTGTGCTTGTCTCAGAGGCTTGAGAGTACAGCAAGGGAAGACGAAGTGTCTCCGGGACGACCACAGGCAACCTGGCACTGCCCAGGCAGATGAAAGAAGAAGGGCACAGAGCCAGGTTGGGCACCACAGCGCTATCCAGCCCATGGTTGCCGACGGTCACATTCCACCACAACCCCCCAACACTAACTCCCCGGGGAACTTCCAAGCAGCAGAGCAGATTCCAACAAGCGAGGATAAAAGGAAAGGAAAGATCCTGGCAGGAAGAAGAAGATCTTGTGACCAAAGGTTAAAAATTTTGAAGTTCGGACAACAAATGTGTTACAAATGAAATATCACATTAAGCCTGGGTTATTTCACCATTTTCATTACAGGGATATTTGTGAAACTCATATTTGAAATAAAAGTATGTGCTACAGCTTAATCATTTTTTCATACATTATTTTGTATTTTCAAAATGTCTTTATTGTAAACTGCACAGCATGTGCCGCTGTGAGCACTATCCCCCATACAGGAACTATGAATAAGAAGCCTTTAACCTGGGCAGAAAATACATTGTTTGTAAGTCGGTCTTAATGAAAGAGTACCAGTTTCAGAGGGCATTAAGTTGAAAAATACACAATGAAATATCTAATAATAATATCTGAATATTCAAACAGCATACAACTTGTTTAAATTTGTTTGCAAATTTAAACAATTTTATTTTAAAGAACTCTTTAATTTCAGAGCCAAATGCCGTGTGCCAAAAGATATTTGAATTATTATTGTTTATTATTATAAATACCGAACACATTCCTGGAGCCTTCCATTTAGCATAAACAGTGCCCTCTACAGGATCCTGTCGAAATAGCATCTCCTTCAGCCTCGTTCACAAAATGTGCGTTTTTTCCACAAAACGTTTTTCTTTATAAATCCCCAAATCTTCCTATAAATGTGTGTATGAATGCTTATCATATTTTTCACTCACATTTATAAATGAGCTCCCTGATTAATCTGTTTACATGAAAACATCTTGCATTAAGGCATGTAAACGTAGCCACCTAACAAGTGCACATATGGACACCCTTATGCTTGAACACGGTGTTCATTATGGACAATCCGTGACGAGCACAGAAGTCCAACAACAAAACACCACTCGGGTTCAGATCGGGGGGGGCGTTCCTCCCAATCACGCCACTCCAGGTCTCACTGTCATTGTCCACGTGAGCATTGAAGTCCCCCAGCAGAACAAGAGAGTCCCCGGGGGGAGTGCTCTCCAACACCCCTTCCAAGGACTCCAAAAAGGGTGGGTATTCTGAACTGCCGTTTGGCACATAAGCGCAATCAACAGTCAGGACCCGTCCCCCCACTCGAAGGCTAAGGAAGGCTACCCTCTCGTCCACCGCGGTAAACCCCAATGTACAGGCACCCAGCCAGAGGGCAATAAGTATGCCCATCCCAGCTCGGCGCCTCTCCCCGTGAGCAACTCCAGAGTGGAAGATGGTCCAACCCCCTTTTGAGGAGACTGGTTCCAGAGACCAAGCCATGCGTTGAGGTGAGCCCGACTACATCTAGTTGGAACCTCACAGCCTCACGCACCAGCTCAGGCTCCTTCCCCACCAGAGAGGTGACATTCCATGTCCCTAGAGCTATAATATAGGTCCCTGCCTTTGCCACTGCCCAACTCACACTGCACCCGACCCCTATGGCCCCTCCTACAGGTGGTGAGCCCATTGGAGGGGGGACCCACGTGCTTTGTTCGGGCTGTGCCCGACCAGGCCCCATGGGTGATGCATTTCACTACGTGTTGAACTTTGTATAACTATGTATGTGACAATTAAAGAATCTTGAATCATGAATGGGTGCAGGCCTGGCCAGCAGGCGGTTGCCATCGAGCCCCACCCTCAGGCCTGGCTCTAGGGGGGGGGCCCGGTAACCCGCGTCCGGGGAAGGGGAAATCGTGGATCCAATATTTTGTTCATCATTAGGGGTCTTGTGAGCCGCACTTCGTCTGGTTCCTTACCCAGGACCTGTTTGCCTTGGGTGACCCTACCAGGGGCATAAAGCCCCAGGCAACTTAGTTCCTGGGATCATTGGAACACGCAAACCCCCCCCACCATGATAAGGTGTCAGCTCCAGGAGAGGCGAATAGATCCAGTTTTTTATAATTTAATACTGAACCTCTTATATTTAGTAATGAATGATTAGTTTCCACCTAGTGGCTTCCCTGAAAAGTACACATTGTTTCTTGATCGCTTGTTCTGTGAATTGACGTGTCCAGTGGATGTAAGAAATATGGCAGCAGCTTGATAGAAAGACATTATAACTGACTACAGTCACTGTGTAGAATGTTAATCTGCAATAGATAATGAATTCAATGGCTTAATGGATATCTGTGCATATTCTTACACGTCTATTATTAATAATAATGCATGTAGATAAATTTTGTGGTTTTTGCCAGTCGAGGTGGGATTCAGTATTTATTTTATGCAAAATTATTTAGCACTATACAACGAAGAATATAATCATTATGGTATTATTAAAAAGCATGCCAAATACACATGATGTAATTATTACAGTGTAATCAACACAATGCAATCAATTGAGTATGTATTTGTACCTCATGTTAGCCTAAGAGTTTCTGTTAGCTACTTTATGTTAGCCCTGAATGTATGAATACCCACCTTCATTAGTGTTACCTTATCACTATGT